ACACACACACACACACACACACACACACACACACACATCAATCAATCAATCAATCAATCAGTCACACTCAGACATACACACACACACACACACACACACACACACACACACACATCGTGGGAGGAGGGGCGCCGGCAATCGCGTCTGTCTGGCAGTGTGCCTACGCCACCTGACAATTTTTTTTCTTTAAAAAAAAAGAAAACAGCGGGGAAGAATAGGGGCCGCACGGAACAAAGTACAGCTGGAACTAATGACTCGATGGGACAAACTCAAGGAAAAGTTAACTGTTTCATACACACAAAGATATAGCAGCAAACATGCAACAATTTGCCAGAGACTGGCTGGGCAGGGAGCAGGAGGGATGGATTGCAAAGGTGGTGTGGGAATGGGAAAAGGAAAGGGACACCTCACAGCTGTGGTGGGACTATAAGCTGGTGTTTCATGATTGGACTAGAATAGATGGCTCTATCCCCCTGCAGCCCCCCTCCGACTCTCCTGACCCTTTTCCCCCAAGTGTGTTATCCCTGGTTGAGTTGCAGTGGTGTGGGGGGGACTGAGTGATATGGCGGGATGTAAGTGGCAGTGTGGCTAGGGGCTGATTGAACGGCTGGGGATTTAAAGGATAGGACATTAAGCCACCAGTACCTTTCCCAGGCAATTTGCCGAAACGCACCGGTTGACACAGAGGCCGCACTCGGCCTCCGTCGGCAGCCAGATGCACCGCCGAAACTCGGCGCGCAGGGCACATGACAGATACCTGGGAAAGGTACTTTTCGGTTTAAGTGGTGTAGGGGGGAAAGGGGTATAGGCTGTATAGCTAGGAAGGCATGCTCTTTTTTACATCTGTTAGCAGATTGAAGAGGCTTCCCTTATAGCCTCCTCACCGTGCGCGCAGTCAATCCCCTGTAGTGCCCAGGCTAATCAATGGTGGCGGGGGACGAGGTTTGCGTGGAATCATCCAACTGGTTTCATTGTCGAAGGGACACTAGACCCATTTTCCAGCAGGTCATCTCCCCACCAATAGATGGAGCAACTGGGGGTGCTGCTAGTAGGGGTTGCTCTTATGACCCTGGCTAGAAGTGGCTGCTGGTTAAAAAAAAAAAAAAAAAGAAGGGTCCCCCGCGGACGAGCTGTAAAAAAAAAAAAAAACTCAAGAAAAAATGATAAAAAAGAACAAAGTTCGGCGTTCGGCCAAAGGTCTTGCCAGGGGAGGCTGAACACTGGCAGTTCGGCCTGACAAGTTCGGCCGGACCCAAACTTGGGTAACCCTGCACCACAGTTCAAAGTACAGGTTTTTGAATCATTGGTCAACATTAGCACGTGCATTGCTTCCTCTTTCTCCCTTTCTTTCCCATTTCATTTCCTTTTTGTTTAAACAACCACTAGCTCCGAGCCTCTTTTTAACGAGGCGGAGGAGAACTGCAACGCTGAACTCTGGCCGAAGTGCCAGCGCAGCGTTTTTTGTTCTTTTGGCTGGCGCCGCCAGACTTTTGGGTCCAGTAGTGCCCAGTGCAATAACTCAGCTCAAATCATGCATTAGTCGTGGGCTGTGGGTCGTCATTTTGGTCAAAGGGCCGAAATAGGGGTCAAAGGCCACGCCCTAGTCATGTAAACTTCTTGAACAAAGGCCTGCTACTGTGGGGTACCCGAAGCAAGGCCTAAAACCGGCCTTCGGAGGCCCAACGTGCAACAGGTGACCGTGGAAAGTCAAAGGTCAACAGCAGCTCGGAAATTCAGGCCCACGAGTCAACGACCCAGTCCAGGCCGCCGATCAGACACACCCACTTGGCTGTTTGCAGGTATCTGTCAAGAATCAAGTCGAAGTGGGAATCTGCAACTGTATGGGATCCATGCCATTGGCTGTGAGACAATCTGGGCCCTCTTATCTGAGAGAACAGAGGCTGGTTAACCAGAGTCGACACTATATGTTGACCCAGCCCCTTCTGACCGACATTCAGTCTTGCACGTGCTGCTTGACACTGGCTTGACGCTGGCTGGACGCTACTTTGACACTGGCATTACGCTGGCTGGGCGCTAGCTTCATGCGACGCGGGACTGCTAATACCGTGTGCTGGCGCCATCCTCTGTCTTTGACTCCAGCTGGGTACTTGACTATGCTGACTTGGCCCTCCCACGCTGATTATGATATTGACGGGATACTGGCGATGAGGATAAGGATCAGGGTTGTGAGATTGATCAATGTGGAGGACATTACGCACTGCTGTCCGTCTTCATTAGGTGTCTGCGCTGACAAGTGCCATGATGAGATCAGCTCATTTTCAGAGTATGTCAGAGGGGACTGTCTGCTGACGTGGCGAAAAGGAGATGCCCGAAGAAGGAGTGGGATTATGAGGGAGATCTATCTCCTATGCTGATGGTACCTTCTCTTCCACCTTCTCAGTCTTATCTCCCTCTCCCCATCCTCTTCTCTGGTGATCAGACATCGGGCTACCTGACTACATGGACAATTTGGAGACATTGAATCTGCGCTGAGACATTCTGTGTTCCGACATTGACGAGCTTCTCTGTTTTTTTTTTTTTTTTTTTTTTTTT